TACTACGTAAAATTGGGAATGGTTGTGGATGAAGTCACAGAAATATTATCGTTTAAACAAACGAATTGGTTAGCGCCATACATAGATTTTAACACCAAATTGCGTCAAAAATCTGTGAATGATTTCGAAAAGGACTTCTTTAAACTCATGAATAATTCGTGTTATGGTAAGACAATGGAAAACGTGCGAAAATATCAGGATGTTAAAATTATGTCTTTGAATGGAGATGATGATGAGAAGAAGTTCCGGAAGAAAATCCGCAAACCATCATTCAAATATGCCAGACAGTTTTCGGATACTCTTATTGGCGCTCATATGGGTAAGGCCTCTGTAGTTCTCAATAAACCAATTATTGTGGGTGCATCAGTCTTGGGACTTAGTAAATTACTAATGTATCGATTCTGGTATGGATATGTAAAGAGGAGGTATGGTGATAAAGCCAAGCTTGGATACATGGATACAGATTCATTTATATTTCTAGTTGAAACTGAAGATATCTATAAGGATATGGCAGAAAGACCTGATATCTTCGATCTTAATGATACGAAAACGATTGGCCTTTTCAAAGACGAGTGTCCAGGTAAAGTAATTACTGAATCATTTAATATCAGAGCCAAAACATATCACTATGTTATATCAGATGGCTCCAATAGATCGAAGCATAAAGGAGTTAGCAAAGCTGGAATGAATAAAATGGCCTGTGAGACATATCCAAATTTTGAATCGCCCCTAACGCAAGTATATCGGGATTGTTTATTCAAAAATGAAGTATTCTACGCTAAAAATATAGGCTTTCGAACAAAAGATCATATTATATCACTCGTGGAATCGGAGAAGAAAGCGTTATGTCCCATCGATACAAAGAGATGGATACTTTCTAACGGAATAACATCCCTAGCATATGGTCATTGGAGGATTGATGCATACAAGAGTATGATCAAAGCTGGTATGTCTCCAGAGTTGGCTGAAAAAAGAGCTATGAGTGTAAAGCTTAAGCCGGAGATCGAATCTTTAATCGAAGAACATATAGCATAAGAAAGCGAGATATTTATATTTACAATTTTTATTTTTTATTTTTTATCTGTATAGTACAAAATGACAGGAAATAAATATAAATATACAGATACAAACGCTCCTACTATGGCAGAAGAATGTTATATTATATCAAGGAAAAAATCCCGCTATTCCAAATTGTTGCTACAAAAACAGCTTAAAAGTCTTGAGATTAGATTTGAGATATTAGAAGATGATTTGATTGAACTTAAGCGGGAAATAGACGATATTAAAAAGATATCCGCCAAGAATAAACATAATACGTCATCTGACTCACCAGGATCTGATTAGTGAGAAGAATTTTCACGTCTATCACATGATATCGAGCCCCAAGGGATCAATGTCACATGTGTGGTATAAAAAAAAATTAGACCGATGTGTTACCCGATTGCAAAGCAATTTATGACCTAGTACTAGCGTCTAGATAACGACATACTTCTTCATAATTAAATATCGCTTTGGTTTCACCATTCCTGTTTACGATTATTATCAACCCTCTGTCGATAATATGATCGTATTTGATTTTATTACAAAACAATAGATACTGCTTCGGATTTTCAGTAAATTTCCCCTGAGTGCAACGTCGGTTGTTTTTTGATTTGTTCTTGCGAGACATTTCGGTTATATACATGAAATACTAATAATCAATTAGCCGGAGGCTGGCGAATGCCTAATTTTTTGTGGTACCACAGGTGCCCAATCTTTTCATACTAATAATTTATGATCGTCAAATGCAATATGTCACTGCAAATCTTACTTTTTTAGGATATTAAATCCGACAAGTAATGAAATTAATTTGTTGATATATTAATCTGCAGTAATATCGCTGTCTGTCATATAGCTAAACTATGTTTGAGTCGCGGTTGAATCGCGGTTGAATCACGGTTAAATAGTCTAATATAAATATCAATGGAAAAAGACGCATCACAGTTGAATCGCGGTTGAGTCTCGTTTGATTTTTGTGTAATGTGGACGGATGATTATTTACGTCTATTAATAGACGAAAGAAAAAATCGAAATGCTGAGTATCACGACATTGCCGGAAATAGTAGAACAGATTTTTGGGACAACGTTGCAAATAAAATCAATCAAGAGTTTAGGACTAAGTATACAGGGGTTCAATGTAAAGGAAAATTTCAAAACCTTGTAAGAGATTATACCGTAAGTTTACTGTAAAGCAAGAAACTTTTGACTAATTTATATCTTACCCTTAGGGTGCAAAGCGCTAAAGTAGTTGAAATTACGTATCGATTGTGTGTATTATATTTGGTAACTTTTATTACTAGATGATGTGTCAATATATGGCTGGAAATCGGACCGGGCGTAGATCCAGAACTGGAGTACGATATTTTGAGGAATTTCGTTCTCGCTTTTGGGAGAGACCAGGTGGGTTTTAGGTTTTCTATTGAGACATAATTATGGTATGTCGCTTTGGTCTGAAAATAATATCTGCTTCACAGAGTACTATGCGCCTAACAAATTTAAACGATGTAAAACTAGAAACGCAATATGACCAGGTACACAGAGCCAATATATCTTCTCGAAGACGTCAAGAAAGACGACGTAACCGCACACCACCGCCGTCTTACGAAGAAGTTTCATCAATGTTGAGGCGCCGTGAATCTATTGGCGACGAAAGAAACCGATCAGCTTCTCCCGTCCACAGAGCTCCCATTAATCAAAATGTTGCAAACAATGGGAATAGTGTGGGTGGGGAAGCGGAGTCTCGATCCTCTAACTCATCTTCAGGTCTTGCTAACGCTAATTTAGATAATAACATACCCGTTACGCGAGGTGTAAGCGATGTTAGCATGATTGATGCAAATAGTCCGCCAATAAACGAGAATGTTTGAGACTATATGAAAAAATAAAAATTTAAAAGTTTTATGAAATATTAATGTAACATTACAACATATTAATTTTTTTTTTTCACGAAGTTTTATACTTTTTCATGAAAGAATAAATTTTATAAAATTACATGGCTTTTCATGAAAGTTATTCAAATCTTCTTACTCAATTACCCCCATCATTAATAAAAGCTGGATGGATTCGTCTTACTACTCGGAAAAAAAATTCATTATCTGAAAATGAAGCAAGTAGTATTAATCCTATTATCGAGTCTTTTTTAAAGCATGAAATTAATCGATATCAAAAAAATCGTAAGCGGTGCAAGAAGCAACACTTCGAGTCTTTAACTCAACCGTCACCATTACAAGTGATTGATATGTGCCCTGGCACCAGCTCCGCTGTTGAGGAAGAAATCAATGCTCGAGTTAAAGAAACTACAGATAATTTGCGTTACGAATTTACTAAATCTACACAGGAGACCTTAAATCTATTAAGCAACAGAAAGATATAGAGTGTAAGCAAATTAAGCTGGATATGGCTAATAAAAGTAAAGATTTATTCGAATCTACATTAAAAAAATATATCCGAGATGGTACTATATATTATCTTATCCATCAATTGGAAGAGAAAGACGGTAAATTATATCCCGATATATCCAAGTAAAATTGATTTATACATTCTTCCCATCTATTTTTTTTTTTGCTCCTCTGGTATTTGTTCAGATATTACAGTATTAAAAATATTATTGCGAAGCAATGGGACTCCGTCCTTGTCAGATATGTGACCCTTTAGGGGAGACAGAGTCTCGGATCTTCGATCCATCGCCCCTTCGGGCCTGTGGCGAGATTTTTCTTTTCGAGTAGAAAGAGGAATTTTAATAGTCTTCCCGTTGTGAGTAGCTATAAATTCGCCTTTTACTATAGGATCCCATCCAACATGGTATTGCCACTTGGTACCAAGTATCATTATAGATATATCATCCCCATTTCGATCTTTTTGTGTAGGGATTACAGATATTTCTTCGGAAACTGTTATATAATCATTTCCAGTACCTATAGATATAGGAACATTATACGAAGTACCAATAGACTGAGAATCCCCAACCGCACCAGTAAGTTTATGAACATTTTTCTCATCTATTTTTAATCCTAAATACCTAGGAATATTATCAGTATATAATGAACCATCTGAACCAGTATCTAGAATTGCGTGTGGTATTACCAAGTCTCCTATTCTACAAGAAATTGTCGCTACATCATTTGGTTCACTTATATCGAGAAAATCAAAGGGATTAGGCCAATTTCGGCTTATTTGTGCTCCCTGATATAGTTTAATGGCATGGTTTAGGGTAATGGTATTGTCGAGTTTTTTTGGAGAGGAATCGGAGATTCGATGCTCCGCATCGTCCAAACTCTGTCCATTAATAGTCTCAATAAATGACTGGAAGATAATTTGATAATTTTTCGCAATATTCACCCATACCTTATTTCGCTCTTTAACTGTATACTTTTCAGTATAATAGGAATCGAACTGGTCCTTCATTTTTGTAAACAGATTATTAAGAAATGTACGAGCTTCAATGAGAATCTCCTTGGGAACATGAGGTATTAATTCGGATATCATATATTTAAGGGATTCAAGGAATACTTCTTGCTCCAAAGTAACAATAGATTTCTTCTTAGTAGAAGACCTCTTCTTCACAGGAATCCGGCTTTTTTTTTTACATTAAAGCAATTCTGCGGTGAATTGAAAATTCGAAGCTTTGCTTCTTCGCTATCTGAGATGGTTTCCTCATCTTCACTCTCCATGACATTTTCCTCGTCTTCGTCTTCCAATACTACAATAGCCTCATCCTCTTGATCATAAGTGCGGAGCCCCATTGCTTCACAATAATCTTCTGGCTCAGATTGATTGGTATAGGTGTAATTAACCTTTTTAGATCTCTTACCTTTAGGACACTTATTTTTTCTATGACCAATTTTTCCGCAATTCGAGCATTTGTAAGTAACTTTAACAGGCTTCTTCTTTGTATTTGTAGTATATACTTTTTTAATAGCTCTGGTATTGTTATTTTGACCAAAAGGCTCTTTTCTAGGCACGGAGTGCACTGCTCTGCAGATATGATAATTTTCATAGCCTAATCTATTATATAATTCATCATCAATAAAACTTGCTAAAGCGTCAGGATTTCGAGATGCATCGTCAGAATACCCCAATCTCTCGGCAATACTATCTAAATGTTCCAATGCCCTATTTTTGTTTTCCTGGGGTTTGAGTTGAGGTTGATATGGGGCGGGGGTTGAATTAGAGATAATAATAGGTAAATTTCTATTTCCGTTATATGTAAAAGTAGAGGGTTGACGCTTAAGCCAGATATTTTTTAAATTGGTAAAGAACGCATCTATATCCCCTGGAGCTGTAATTTCCATTCTTGAAAAGAGCTCATCTGGTAAGTGGTTCCATAAGATAGCCAATGCATCAGCATTGTTATTTGGTGTTTGTAATAATAAAAGTCGAATTCTTTCTTCATAAGTTTCTGGAATATCTGTAGGTAAGAATTTTTCTTGCGTTAATTTTGTTAAAGAAGCTTGCCTCGTTCCTACAGTTAATTCGTGATATCTATGCCTAATCCATGCTCTGAATTGATCCGGAGTATCAATATTAATATTTGCATGTTGAGCCGGAATTGGAACGTATTTCCCTGCCATTTTTGATTTATAAATATCTGCTTTATGAGCATCCGTAAAAGTATTAGCATTTGCTTGATTGGCGTCGGCTATCATTGTGTCAGCAAAGGAAATTGCTTGTTGAATCTTATTACAATAGTCGTCTGGTGGTTCTTGTCCTATATAATTAGGAATTTGTGAAGAAACACTACCAATTGCTTGATATATATGTTGTCTAGCAACGGCGGCCATGTTTTGATTTTGTATATTATTCTGTAAATTTAAAATTCTCTGATTTAAAAAATTAATTCGCTCTTCCAATTCCAAATTAGCATCGCGGACTAGCCTCGTTCTAAGCTTCCACTTGTTGTATTTAGCGTGTTTAGCTCTCGTCCTATTTTTCCATTTATTATATTTCCCGTACAGAATAGCGCGTGGTTGTGCTTTATTTTTGTACTTATTGCAAAGAAGTTTGAGAGCGAAAATTTCAGATAATAATCGGGTTGTATTTTTCTCATAATAGACTCGCCAGAATGTGTGCATTAATTTTTCGTCTTTATGGTTTTTATCCAAATCGTCCAATATATATGCAGTAGCGTTTTGCCAGCTCATAGCATCATCGATGGCAATTCGAGTATTTTCTCTTTCTGACGCTAAATCAGCTTGAGATTGATTATAAAGCCGGTTTAATTCGTCTAATGTATATTCGACAAAGTTACACAGTGACGTATCGGGATTTCTTTGTATTTTATTCCTAATCGATTGGGTGATGGATTCAAACGTCCTAGAGGTGTCATCCATCCTCGGTGATCGTGGTATTCTTGGTGGATTAAGATTTGCCATTTCTATTTGATTAGGCAATATTTTTTTGTGGGGTATTAATTGTTTGATTCTTGCCTTAAGCCTTAAAATATCCTCTTCATACCCCACTATCTGGTTATTTTTGGAATCAATAACACTTTCGTTTGACTTAATTTCCTTGAGAGCCGATCTCAATTGTTTATGTAAATTTGATATTTGTTTTTTAAGGGTTTGAATCTCGTCTTCCTGATCAATGATAGTGGTACTACGACGTATTAACTTTCCCTCGCATTTTTCTAAATCCCGTATAAGCTGACGGATTTTTTTCTCATTGGTACGATTTATGTCTACCTCGCGATTTAACTCCTCTCGTAATTCGATATTCGATTGTGCAAGTTGCACGAATGCTGGATCTAACAAATTATTTTTTTCCATTTTATATTTCGAAAGAAAAAATGTCACGTTATATTCCCATCGTTTCTATCGATCCTAAAGTAGCGCGTAAACTCGATATTGCTATTGAGCTTAGAAAAATATATTACAGGCCTCAGGGTTATTATCGTACCGCTGAAAAATTGCGTGATGCTTGTAAAAAAGCCGGAAATAATTTCTCATTGGCTGATGTGAGAGAATGGTTAGACAAACAGGCGCTATATCAGATTCATAAACCCCGCCCAAAATTTATTCCACATGTAGCATTCAATACAATATGCATTCCGAATGAGGTACATCAATGGGATACGCTATATACCTCTTACGATAAAATTGGTAGAAAGACTTATATGTTTTGTGCAAATTGCGTAGATGTTGCTTCACGCTATAAAGCGTCAGTACCTATTGGCACTGTTTTACGTAGACCCGAAGGGGCGATCCTAAATGGTCATAACGAACAGTCTCGAGAAAACATCCTCACCTCTAAGGCTATTGTTAAGGCTATGCTAAAAATCTATAACGATCCTGATTGTCCGCTTAAATTTCCGAAAGTTATAATTACTGATAAAGGCTCCGAGTATGTGGGCGATTGCAATAAATTTTACGCCAAATATAATATAAAACATACACAGGCCAAGTCTAAGCGTGGAGTTAGCATTGTCGAAAGATATAATCGAACATTGGCTGAACGATTATATATAATACAGGATGCGGAGGATTCATTGTTACCCTTAAATAAACGATCGAGAGCATGGGTCAAAAATCTACCCATTGTTGTCAACGATCTTAATAATTCGATATCTCGCTTGATTGGGATGACTCCTGCAGAAGCGATAAAAAAGAAATACGTGTTTGCTAAACCGTCCAAGCCTCGCAATGGTCCTATGGGTTATGACGAAATCCGTTTAACTCATAATGTTTCGGTTAGATATTTACTTGATGCTGGTGAATTGGAGGGAGGTAGACGTCGTGCAACTGATTGTAATTGGAGTCCTCAAATTTATCGTATCAAGGAATCGTTGGTACAAAAAAATCAGCCAGTCTTGTACTGGATTGAAGATATTGATGGGAATGGCCCGAAGCGGTCTTTTGTTCGAGAAGAATTGATGATTGTTAAAAACGTTGAATACCCGCCTCAGAGGATACTCAAGAGTTAACAAATTCGTTTAACTCATCTTCTAATTCTTTTTCTGTACTAAATGAATCTTTTGCTATATTATAACATATATTATAATAGTTTTCAATGGCTTTACGGATTTTTATTTCCTTTTTATAAAAGCCATTAAGTTCTTGCATAGTCGTATTGTATATTTCCTCATTAGGAAATTTGATTGTAGACTTTTCGAATATATGCATTTCAGGATCTTCTGCACCGCGTATTTCGGCTAATTGCTTTTTATACCAGCTCATAAATCCTTTATCTTTTGGCTTTCGATAGAGTATGCCTGCTCTTAAAATATCAATTATTGCTTTTTCAAAATCTTGCCAGGTTGGGATAGAGGGTTTGGCCTCTGTAGATACTTGGTCGATATTTTGGGTACTAGTTGACATTTTGAATATGTGATATGTTCTGATTATCTAAAGTTTTGTATATTAATATTATAAAAACTTTTGTTTAAATAAATATTTCAATATATATAAAAAATGATTGGTGAATACACTTGTCCGTTTTATCATAATTCCGGCAAAGTTTGTGGAAGAACCTGTATGAGACCTGAGGGATGTAGTTATCATTGGAAAGCTAAGAGAAGAGTACCATGTACTGATTGCGGAAAGCCTACTGGTTCAACTTCTGGTCGGTGTCCATTACATATTAGAGGCTATTATGTTACTCAATACTATAATAGACTTAAATCAAATAAACAGACACGGAGTGTCCTGCTCCGCAGAGAAAAAACGTATGAGGAAATAATAACTACCATTAAAGTTATGCTTGCAAATATGCAAGAAAAAACTTATGAGGAACTAATGGATACTTATGGGAATAATCTTGCAAATCTTAATATTACTCTTTGTAGAGAATGTTTACTTCCAATAAAAGTGGAAGATGGGGAATATTGTGATAGCTGTCAACCTGGTGGTTCAGTACTATGTGGTTCAATACTATGTGGTTCAGTACTATAATAGATTGCGTGCTAGGGCTTCAAAAATGCCTTCTTGTTATGTGAAGGCTTGAAGAGCCATTGCTCTGCCAATAAAATCTGGCACAAATTTTATTAGGTCTACCTACCTACCTATCATATTTCCGAAATTTTTATTAGACTTTTGATATTGGTATAAATTTTTTATTAGACTTAGCATATATATATCGAAATTTTGGTACCTTGATATGATTTTCTATTAGACTTAGGTATATATATATAAATTTTATTAGACGTTTTGTGTGTTAGAAAGTAGTGAAGAATCAGCTTTAGATTGAATTCTGCTATATCAATTAATATTGGTATGTAATTTAGGCTTGATTCAGATTTGAGAATGGATCAGGATATTCATTAAATTCGTATCCTTCACTGCCTCTCCTAGTCTTTTTTAATGGTAAGTTGGGTATCATAAATAATTGTTATCCTTTTTGATATGAATTTGGGTAAATGGTTGTGTTCTAGATATATAAACAATCAGTGTATTTTGATATAAAAATGTGTCATAAAACATAAATTCGTCGTCATTGGAACTGTGATATACAGGATCATGCTCTAGTGCCTTGAAAAGCTTGAATTGATATACAAAAAATTAATATGCTATTTGACGTTTTTGAGGCCCATTGATATACAAGCTGACTAGTGCTGTGCCAGAAGACCCATTTTTGCCCTACTGATGTTGAAAAATCTTATCTTATATAAGGTACACAATCTGCTATGATATCCTTGATGGTGTTAATTTCATTGGATTGCCAATCATCTGAATCATTTTCAAGTTCTAGTCCAGGATGACTGACATCCAAATATCATCTTCATCCATGCTCAGCTCATCACTCTTGAGAAGAGTGATCAAAGTCTCCTTTGGTATGGTAAAGTTGCAAGATCATTCGACTTAAAGATAATATCTGGGTGGGAAACCATAATTCGATTACAGTAGGCCAGAAGTTTGTTTAACAAGGTTGTGGATGCAGCAAGCTTGTGAACTGTGAGAATATTCTGTTGAATCCAATCCTTTTGTTTATCAATCAAACAAGTTTCAATTCTGGTAAGGAGATCAAATAGTTCAAACTTGCTAGCTCCATATAAAAGGCAGATCCAACCCACATTCTTGCATGCATTACAGGATAATTGCCCAGTGTAAATATATCTACAATGAATCGTCAAGTTCAAAAAACGAATACCTGAACACTAGCATCGACATTGTGCTTATATTTCTTTGATTAATACTATGAAATTTTACCTGAGCAATATTTCTAAAACGTCAGGAGTTACATCTTCAAATGTTATAGCTGTGCTTTGAATCTCTGTAGACGTCTCTATATTCCCGGTTATGCTGTTCTCAACAAATTTGCTTCTCATACATAAACTAATGTATTGGCAAGAAATATTTTGGTATTTGGCTCTTTTCCAACATTGATTGAAATATCTGTATATTATGCCATGTTTGTAAAGCTTCTCATAGTCTGATGAAAGGCTCGAGGACAAATCAACAAAGTTATCCATGTTTGTGTGTGAATGTTTAAAGACGTCTTTTTCTATGACGATTTTTATCGATCCTCTGTGTAACATACTCACACAGCTATTACAGTATTACAAAGGATTGCCGCGACCCTACTGTATTGTATGATTGTTCTTGCATAATCTTATCAATGAAATAATTTGTCATTAATCTAGATTAGTCATACTCAAGGATTCGTAATGGCAGTATGCAAATAAGTGCAGAGATGTCTTGGATTTAGTATGCAGTCTACCCTCCATATATGCACACCCTCCATATATGCATGCCAAGTCTTATTCCCAAGCTCAGGAGTTAGTAAATATATGCACACCCTCTATATTCTGCATTGCACAGTTTTTTTCATTTCCTGCTATATGAAATCCACACTCTCTATATTAATATGCACACCCATGATTTTCATGTAATTTTGTGCAACAAATTATAATTACCATTACACAAGATATCTAAACAAAGTAAAAAGTGTGATTTGTAATACTTACATATTGCATTGTCTTATTGGTTACACTTTGAAAGAAATTCGTGAATCATTGTCAAAATTACTTGTTTAACAGTCTTTATTATTATTATTATTATTATCATTCCTTCATTTAATATTAACAGGCCAGGTGAATAGAGAATTAATGACGGATAAAGAATTTGTAATCATTCATGAAATAAATAAATACAATTGTTTAACATCTTTTGTTAGAGGTCGGCATTCGGCATTATGAATTGCATAAAGAATTTTGTAATCGTTCGTGAAAGAAATAAATAAAGAGTTTAGAATTGGAATTAGTTCGTTCCTTTTGCAACAGCAAGAAGATTCTAAGGAGTTACTTAAACAAGTTAATACTCTTTATTACTACATTGGTTTAAAGTTGATGAATGCAAAGAAACAAACAACCATAGACAATTTTTTTAGTCAAAAATAGTAA